ATCCGGAAGACTGGGTAAGATAATTTTCTCAATGCTTAGTTACATCTTGTTTTATTACCGATTTCACATGGTAATGAAGTGATATGTGATTCAATACAATAACATACGCACTGTAATTCCGTAAATGAGGTTTGGATAGGGTAAGATATATGCAAACTTTTTTCCTACCTTTGTGGGCGTAGAAAAGTTGTTTTCTATATACCCTTGGCTAGCTATTGAAAATTTTGGTCCACAATCGTTGAGGGAAGCGATAATCGCCTCGTGTGGTCTCTGGTCTTGCTCTGAACTAGTCTTAGAGCGAGGGACTGTTTTATGTCGTAACTCTTAAGGATGAGATACAACAAACCTACCTGAGGGCAGTGGCAAGAGCCATGATTTTCACTAAGGGGAGTCAAAGTATAAAGAAATGAATATACGGAAAACTCAAAAGGATTCAACATATAATATATATGCATCATTTTTTTTATCTATCTATCTATACTGTGTAATTTTCTAGCAGAATTGACACCCCTCAGACAAGAGTACTGGATCCTACATTGCATGAGGGTAATTCCATCCCTAGTCGCTACACCACCCTAGCCTCTCTTTTTGATACCTAGGAAGATACAATTTCTTATTTCGCAGTGATTTCCTTAAAGAGAGAAAAAGAAAAGATTCGTGATCGGGAAGGTTAGAGTAGCCAAAGCCATTGGAATTTTTTATTTAATACATTGAAGATATCTGTACTGGTGCCAAAAGTTCATCACGGATGAAAGGACCACTAAGTCGGGATCACCAACTGATATAGTAATATGTACTAATATAATTTAAAAAGAACTGTCTTTTTTGTGTACTTTCTCTGGTTACGTTGCTACTGCAGGCTTTATGCTAATCAGAATTATTATATTGATATAAATGGGATTTACCTATATGCTTATTGTTGCAAACAGTTAGCAGGGAAAGCTGTCAACGTCATTCAAGTTGCGATGAAAACAACTTATGAGAGTTCCAAATTATGCTTGGACACTAATTACTATGGTGTTAAGAATGTTACTGAAGCTCTTCTTCCATTGCTGCAAAATTCTCCTTCAGCAAGAATTGTTAATGTCTCCTCCCTTAGAAGTGAATTAAAGGTAAGACCATCTTTCTTGTCGTTTCCTTACATAGAATTGCCAGAGCATAGTTAGTAGATGTTTTTGCACGGATTGCCCCTATTTCGGGGTGGTTTCTACTTTTTGATCATGGTCTTTAATTTTTGCCATTGATGCTCATTTAGCGATAATATGTTGAACAAAGTACCCTAGTATCCAGACCGAATTCGCTCAGTATAAGTTTAGAGAGCTTTTGCCTATCATTTTCCAGAATTTGTTGTAGTGTTTAGAAACGAATTATGTGTTTTGGAGCATCACTCTGGTTATCAACACATACATAATCTTGTTCTTTTATGCTTTAAGTCTTAGCTTTCGGGCTAGTTGTAATTTTGGTTGATATATTATTAGAGAATCAAACCTTCATTTTGTTTGATGTGTAGAGTTTATCCTTGTTGACTAGTGGTGAAGTCGAGAATTTCATTAAGAGTGGTCAAGATTTAATATACATGTATAAAAAGTAATTTTTACCATATATTTGGTATAAATTTTCTATGAAAGACGTTCAACTGATCACCTTTCATTGTATGTTGCTACACCACTTGTTGTAATAGCTTAAACTAAATTAAACAAATCTCCATTTCCTCTATACTGATCTTTGCTAACCACTCTCTTAAGGACCTTCTATCTTCCGTTAGACGATATAGTCACGCTAGCTTTTTCAAAATATAGGGATTTCAGGTGAAGTCTTTCCATTTGCTTAAGTATTGGGGAGCAGAGTTACCTAGTAAATGCGATGATTTAAGGTAGAAGGTTGTTTGGACACCATCGTTATGTAAAAAAGAAGAAAGAAAATAAGCTAGATTTTCTCTTAATGGTAGCTTGTTATATTTCAAGGGATTGTATTGTAACTTCCAAAGGACAAGAACTTTATAATTCTCGAGTCATTTTCAGTCCGAAAACTAAATCCTACAAATGCTTTTTTGATAACCATGATGTCCGGACCAACTTGTTTGCACCTGGACTAATTCCACGAGATACCTGCTATCTCCTACTAACGTACAAGTACTGGGTAACTCTGACATATAAAAAGGATTTCTTATTGATTTTGTATCGTTCTAATGCAGCGAGTACCAAACGAGGAGAGGAGAAAGGAGCTAGGAGATGTTGAAAACCTGACAGAAGATAAAATCGACAAGATTCTGCAGAATTTTTTGCATGATCTGAAACAAGATGCTCTCGAGGTGAATGGTTGGCAGATGATGCTACCAGCATATAGCATATCAAAAGTTTCACTCAATGCTTACACTCGAATTCTCGCAAGAAAGTACCCGAAAATGTGTATCAATTGTGTCCATCCTGGATACGTCAACACGGATATAAACTGGCATACAGGAACAATGCCTGTCGAAGAAGGAGCTGAAGGATCTGTCATGCTAGCTCTTTTGCCTGATGGAGGACCTACTGGTTGCTACTTTGATCGTACAGTAGTCGACGAGTTTTAGATACAACAATAACTACGCCTCAGTCCCAAACAAGTTGGGGTCAGTTGCAATGTTTTAGATCAAGTCGTGAAATAAGACTATTTCTTTCAGTTGTCTCTTGGCATTTGGTTGAATTTCTGAGCTTGGTGTTCTACTGGTTGAATTAGTAATTGAAACAATGAGGGAAGCAAAGGATAAAATAATCAAGTAATGTGTTGTATTATATCATATTGTAATGTTTTAATGAGTACAATATTTGGATAGATTGTATTGTTCTCTATCACATCAACAATTTGAATGATAAATCTAGAAGAAAAAGTAGGATACGGAATAAAGCTACTATTAAAAGATAGGTAGTTAAAGGATAAAATAAGAAGAAAATATTAAGGTAACGATGAGATCACACCATATCGTTCGTCATTACCTAATGATGGATTTAAATGATATGATACAATAAAATTTAAGTAACAATCAAAACAAATGTTATATCTAAACTATCAATACAATACAACAGGTACCAACCATTCAAACAAGGTGTTAATGGGTGTATCAAATCCAAATGTGATAAGTAAAAGTGAACGGACGGAGAAATTACCATCATAATAGCAAATGCCAGTAATTCATAACAATTTAATAATGCCAGTAAAAATGACAACATTGCCATAGAAATGCATTCAAACATCACATTGAGTGTAAATGTTACTCTTATGGCAAACTGAAATGAATAATGATACTATATAAAGGAGTTACCAGTTAGAGGATCACATGGGTTTGCCTACCATAAAAAAAGGTAGTTTAAAGTGTTAGACAATAATACCCATGAAAACATATTTTTTTTACCAAATTTTTACTTATTAAATAGTAGATTGTTGATTTTTTTTTACTTGTAGCACTAGTATTAGCCCTATACTCTCCATTTACAGGTAAGTCAATATATTTTATCTTTGAAATGGGATTTTGATTTTTGGTCTTGATTGTTTACTTTGATGTTGCTGCTTAACAATGTTTAGATCAAGTGATCCTTTCCATCTGTTCAAGCCTCAGTAAACAGAGTTAGTTGATATCTATGTTAGTATGAGGTAGCACATACATGTTGGAATTAGTTGAGGTCTCACCTTGTTACTATCTATTGTTTCTTGTACCTAGCTCGATTATTGTATTATTTTGTTGTAGTTTATGTTATGTTATAACTATATGTTGTTTTTGTTATTATCTGTTGTTTCTTGTACTTCCATTATTTCTCTTTTTCGGAACTACATCCCCGAGGTTGTTATTTCAACAGTTGGACTATTAGTCTCTACATACCTCTTTCTTCCTATCGCGTTAGTTCGTTTGAAATAGTGTTCTTTTTTCTTCTTCTCCCAACAGGATTCAAAAGGATTACAGGTTAGAAAAATTGGACTTAAGTGATGGGAGATGCTTGTAAGTATGCAGTGGTTACAGGAGCAAACAAGGGAATTGGCTTCCAAACTGTTAAGCAGCTCGCAAATTCAGGTGTAACGGTTGTCTTAACAGCCAGAGACAAAAAGAGAGGAGCTGAAGCAACATCCTTGCTGAATGAACAAGGATTTTCAAATGTTGTCTTTCATCAGCTTGATGTTCAAGATGCTCAGAGCATTGAGTCCTTAGCAAAGTTCATACAAACACAGTATGGGAGGCCTGATATTCTGGTAAGAGCATGAATCTATGTATTGCTCTTCATTCGATCTCGAGGTAAATATTGGACAGTTTCTGAATAAATTTCTGCAGGTAAATAATGCTGGAGCTTCTGGAATGGTACCTGATGAAGATGTCCTAAGGGCCATGAACATAGATCTTGTAGACTGGGTAAGATAATTTGCTACATGCTTAGGTCTTGTTTTTTTTATGTGATTCGATCTCATATCTAAGCTTTGAGGTAGGCGATAGTTCCCGTGTGTGGTCTGATCTTGCTCTGACAGACAACTAAAACTTGGCCTCAACCGGCAAGTAAACACTCCAACTTTGAGTATGCACATCTAGACACCTCCAAAATTTATGTGACACATCAGCATAGTGTCCACAAGACATAGTGGGATGAGTTGAAGTGCTTACTTGTCAATTGATGCCAAGTTTGTGAGTGTTTGTTTATATGGCCAACCCTAACTTGTTTGAGACTGAGGAGTAATTGTGTGTTATTATAAACAGTTACCAGGGAAAGCTTTTGATGACATTCGAGTTGTGATGAAAACAACGTACGAGAGTGCCAAATTATGCTTGAACACTAATTACTATGGTGTTATGGCATTTGGTATGCATTTTTAAATGTTTTGGTACTCGATAGGTGATAGTCCCCATGTGTGGTCTGATCTTGCTCTGAATTAGTTTTAGAGGGATTGTTTTAATGTTGTAAGCCATAAGGACTAGATAGAACAAAACCTACACGAGGATAATGGCGGAGCCAGAATTTTTCTAGAGGGGAGTCAAAATATAAAGAAGAAAACATATGAAAAAACCAAAGGGATTTGACCCTTGTGACACATTTTAAAGTTGTGCATGCCTAGTCCAAAGTGAACCATACAAGCTATTACATCCATAGTCATGATGCTCAATCCAACATGAGAATAAATACCACTTAACGATTCAACAACTTTCCCTTCTCGACTTGAGCAGAGAGACCTTCAAAACTTTTCACTTCCCAAATAATTGTTGAGCCTCGTCAAAATCCTAACAATGAAAAAGTAATACATTTCCTTATAATCTATGACCATAATGTACAACATGTCTCTTGTGTGTTACATTAAACAACTTTTTTCGATCATGTACCTTTGAGTTTCATTAGAGCTGGATATTCCATTTGCAGCAAGTCATGCTTCATCTCAAAATAGCCAAAGTAGATGGCTGTACGACTTGGAAATCACAACCTCCTTACTGAAAGCAATTAAAAAGACATGTTAGAATTCTTAGACAATCCGTGTATTACAATTACAGACCGGCCAGCACACGTCTCTATATATATAGTGCTGCACATGAATGATTCCTCTAGACAAGTAATGAAATATCATGGTTTTATCAGACTACAAAAAGTGATTTCCTAAACTTAGGACCTAGTGAAGAAGTTTCAAATTCAATACATCAACCATGGCTCACACACAATTCTTTTAAGAACAAAACACTGTGAAGGGAGCCAAGCTGCCAGTTCATCTTGATTAATAAAGAATTGAAGGCTTCTAAATTGTTAAACCTCTAGCATAGTGCAGAGAGGGCGGAGGGCAGTACTGATTCGGAAAGTGATTAGAGATTAGGGCAATCACTGATGTGTAGACGTAGAAACGAAGTGAGGTGCCAAAGACCTAGTAAAACAAACATTACTAAAAAATAAGCATCTTGTTAACTAAAACACGAGTAAATCATTATTTTGTTATCTAACCTTGACTTCATCCGTAACAGGAAATACTTTCTTGACTTTCCGATAGCTTTGAGGCGTCAGTACTCGAGGTTGAGTGATGGACATAATTTGAAGGAAACTTCATAATTCTCAAAGTTCTCTGCATATCAAAACCAAAAAAACTGATGTAATATTCTGGATCTTCGAATATGAAAAAATAAACTAATGTAATAATGAAGCTTGATTAACTCTTATCAAGGTGTTAGCTACCTGATTGAGAAAGTGAGATTGCATTTCTTGGACCCTTTTATCTCTGTACAAATGTACATTTCTTGAGCTATAAGTCAACAATTTATTTTATTGATGTGTGTAGATCAAATTCCAATTTTTCACCATATGAAACCAAACATCAAAAGTTTTGTCAAAGAAGGAAATAGCCTACCACCTTTTAGGTGAGACAAGATAAAATCTTTTATATCTTTCATAAAAAGTTTCTAAGTATATTGTATGTATTTTTTTTAGTAAAAGTTTTTAATAAAGATTACAAGATTGACTCGTATCTTTTATGCTAGCTCCAATCTCACCTCATGCAAAGCAAATCAAAATTAATCGATATCAACAAACAAATATCAGACATCGAACACAAGACCAAAATATATATACTAACAAAAAAAGAAGGAAATAACCTTGGAAATAGACTATAATATATAAATAAAATCACAAAAAATGCCAACTTAAACTTCTTCTCCAAAACACATAGATCATCAACATGACAATCAATAAAATCACTAGGAAAAAATAATAACCAAAAGTGTCCATTTGCTAAAAACAACAAAATATACCAAAAACACCCCCACCCCCACTCCCACCCCACCAACTCCATAAGTTGGTCTTCTCATTTTGCTTTCAAATTTAGAGAGTAACAAATATTCTTGAAATTTGTTAAATTGTGTTCATATAAAGGAATAAAAGCATCAATGCTTCCATCTCCAATAAATGATGGCACAAGAAACATCATTCCTTCTATTGGATAATAAGAAGGCATAAACACAAATGGACAACCAGTACCAAAATCCAAGTCATAAAATGGAAACCTCAACCAACTATCAACTTCCAAATTTGGACTAAGTGAGTCCTCCTTCATGTTTGCACTTGGTATTAAATCTTGTCTAGTCATCACTTTCTCATCATTTGCAAAATCAATAAATGACTTGAAATATTTATCATCAACTTTAGTAATTGCATCATGAATAATCTTTGTTGCATAGTGAAGTGGCTCATCTAGTAAGTCCTTCACTTTTGATGTTGGAAATGCCCATAAGACTATATTACCAAAAAATTCATCCGGAACTCTAGGTATAACTCTTCTCCTTCCATCAACCGATATTCGAATTTGAGTATTTTGTGATGCGTTTAAGTCACGTGATTTTGTAATAGCCCTCCATAAATGGGCTATTAGACTTTCGAACGTGCTATAAGTTTTAGCCTTTCCATTCATAAAAGAGGCATGCGCCTTGAGTTTCCCTAGGAACTCCAAGGTGAAATGGACTTTGTGGACTATGATGTTTTTTTTCTCATTAATTTCATCGTTGTTGACTTTTACTAACTCTTTGTTTACTAATTTGGACACAAATTCAGCCCCAACATGGTTGTACTCGATGAGGGGTGGATCCCGAGGGAGGAAAATAGCACGATCGTTCATCGGGAGGGGTGCAATTTCCATCCCTTGGCATGCTTGACCCCATTCTACAAAAAAGTTGCTTGCAGCGTGGCCGTCAGCTATCATGTGGTGGCCGGTGAAACCGACCACTACAGAGCCACACGTGAAACGTGTGACTTGGACTTGGATTAACTCCACTACATCCTTTAAACTAGGATGTAAGGAGAGCATAGAGGGCGAAGGCTTTAAGGGTAATACTTCGTCCAACGAGGCGTCTACAGACGCCTCGATGAATCGAACACCCTCATCATTGAGAAAAACTCCTCGATTACCGTGTTCATCTTCACCTATTCGCCCAGCCCACTCTCGATAAATCGATAATGTCTTTCGAAGTCCCGTTTCGATAGTGGATGTGGGAGGGGTGGGTGGTCTATAGGCATAAATCAAAGCCATTAGAGTATCAAATGTTACATTGTCAAATACATTGAAAGGAATATGTGCTGTAGTTGAAGGTGGAATTCCTTCATACAAAGGCTTGATGATTTTTGAACTCTCAATTTTCACATTCATGGCTACTAAGTTTTTTCTTTTTTTGTGTATGTATTTTCTTCTCTAGAGAGCTGTATTTTTTTTTGTGATGTAAATTCTAGGCACTAGTTGGCTTGTTTATATAAGAAAAGAAATGTTCCTTTATTGGGGGCCTCCATTAGTTTTTAATTTTCTCAAAAAGATTGCATTTAAAATTCTCGACAATAGGAAGTTTGGCCAGTTTGTACTTGTACTAATAATACTTCCTCCGTATTATATTAATTGTCCACATCGTTGAAAATTATTCTCTTAAATTCTTTTCCTTATTATTTTTTATTTATTTACTATATCAGATTTTTCACATTTACTTGTCAATTGTCACTTTTAATATATTATAAAAAGATAATTATTTTAATTAATCCCTCTTTAAATCATTTTTCAAAACTTAATACTTAAATTAATTAACAGAAATAATGTGATAAAATAGTTATGACTTATGTTAAATATTATTTTCTTAATAAATATATCAAATTTCATCGTGATAATTAAAAATGAACCGAGAAAGTTCATTGATAAATTACCCTTTTTATTTATATTTTTAAAAAAACGTATAAGAATAAAAATGAACAACTAATATAGAACGAAGACGGTATAACATGCCAATTTTTGAGGATTTCAGAAACCACGTGATTGAATGTTCAAAATTCCTTTGCTATTTAGTGGTACCTACGAGGCGAACAAATATATATATATATATATATCTTTAATATATCATACTTTATTCGTCGTATTCAATCTATTATTATTCTCAAGTAATTTTTATTTAATTATATTTTTAGTGTTTATAATTTCAAAATTATAGCTACTAAATCTTTAGAACTTTAAAATTAACTAAAAACTTGCTATACTAAAATTATTTATATTATGATAAACAAAAATAAGTAAATAAAATAATTTAGAATATATTTTAAGAAGGTTTATATTTTTTAAAATAACTTCTCAACCTTCTTATATGAAATTCTTTTTTTTTTTGGTCAGAAAATTCTTATTATTCAGATAAATATAACATTTATTATTTATAATTTTATTAATGACGTGATATTTACCTATTACACTCCTATAGTATTATGAAAAAACGTGATACCTTTATTTCCTAGAAAAAGAATTCATTTAAAATTGGCAAAAAGCAAACTTTTGCCAGTGGGGTTTGTTAATTAGTAAATTTTAGTATTCTCCCTCTGTCTAAGCATGTGATTCTTTTTATTTTTTGAGAGCAAATAGTTTAACATTAACTGCAAATTTGTGTATGGAATGTTTTAACTTTTTAAAATGAAATTTATATATTTGTAAGTAAAAAATATTATAAGTCACAATAATTAATGATTCAAAATATTAAAAAGATCTATGAAAAACTTATGGTCAAAATTAGACTTATTTAAATCTAAAAATCTGAAAAGTGTCACATAAAATGAGACGGAAGAAGTATTACTTGTTGTACTAAAATGCCAAAAATATTCCAAGTTTTCACAATTCACGTGGTTGAATGATTAAAATTACTTGTTGTGAAAGGATTGAACAATGACTTTTCTTAATTCCACCCACTAATATTATTATATTATTACTTTAAATGTAATTCAATTTAATTGTTTTTATAATTATAATAGATTGACATTTAAAACGATTTTCAATTTATATAACAATTAATTTGGTACGATTATGTTGCAATCTTTATTCATTATTATATTATAACAAAATATAATATAATATATATGTTGCATTAACGATTTTCAATTTATATAATAATTGATTTGATAGGATTATATTGTATAGTCTTTTTATATTATATTATAATAAAATACAATATAATACGATACGTTATTGACGAATTGTATCAACCACTCAGAGAAGTTGTGAAAGGATTCAAATGGTAGATTTCTTTTACCTACTCTCTTTAAGATGTTTTAGCTAGATTGTATATTAATTAGTAATATAAAATCAGTTATTAAATCTTGCTTAAAAAGAAAATAATGAAAGAAATTGTGATTATCTGATAGAGTGGAAAGTACTATTGTATTTTTAATCAAAGATCTTATATAATACTTAAATTAATCATGCGATAATCTATATATATTATTTTATATGGAGGAAAACTAGAATAAAAATGAAGATATTAAATTATAGATGAATTGCAATGCTAAAATTCCTTATAATAGTATAATAATAATAATTATTTAAACATAAAACAAATATTTTGAAGTATACTATTAATATGTAATACAAACATTCAACATTATATGATTAATGCATAACTAATCTTTGTAAAATTTTCTCCGAACCAAATAATTTTTAAAGGTGATAAAATTAGCTCGTGAAGATTTGACTAATCCAATTCGTCCAAATTTAGCATATATTGATCCACTTATTATTAATTTAACACATTTTGGTTTGTTTGTACTTAGAAGTTAGACTAATGCATAGCCCCTAACCTATCAAACTTTTATTTAATTATTTTTTTAGAAAAACTTTTCTTTTTTATATAATATACTTATATAATCATAATGAAAAAAAATCACCATTAGAAATCTAAATTTTACCACTAAGTAATAAATCAAATGGGCCCAAGTAAAGCTTCAATCACTTTAATTATGATTTGATTGGGAATATTATATATTATCAGTCAATTTTTTGTCCTTTAATCATTAAAAGAACAGACTCAATTTTCCACATCTACTTTAGAAAATTTACAGTCCGTTGAATTAATTTTAAAAAATACTAACTTTTAAGTCAAAAATAAAAAGTTAAACTTAAATAATTTTTAAATTAAAAAATAAAAGTAAAGGGAGATCTCTTTTAATTTTTATCTTATTTTTAGTCATTTTAAACTTATTTTATATATAAATAACAGAAGCACGATATTGAAATGAATCGTAATTGACATTATTAATCGACAGTGGTTCCTAATTAAATTATTTATCCCATGCGCAATTTTGATTTTTATATTTCGAATTTCTTCACATAAATTGAAATTAAAAAAATAAAATAATAATAATAA